AATGTCTTGCCAAACGAAAACATGCTGACTGCATGATATATCTGGGAGCAGTATCCCCTTCCACATGGACAGCTGCTGTGGTGAGAATGGTCTGTTTCGCCCACTGCCCAGTCTTTGGTGGTCTCCTTGTACCTATCTGTAGCAACATTTCCCTCAACACAATTCCTGACTCTAAATACTTGCAAGGCTCTTCCTGCCTTTCTGTATTTAGCAGTGCATGATGGATTCCTTTCTGTGGATTTGTTCAGTCTTGTTCCTAAACCATGCAGCACCTGCAGCGGCCCATGGCAGGAGGGCTGCTCTGCACTGAGTCACCTCCTCATGTTTACCCCAAATCTACCAGTCTCTCTCTAACCTCCCCCTGCCACACAGATCTCTCTCCTGTGACCCCAGCTGTTTCTTTTCCATGCCAAAGAGCTCTGATCCATCATGCACACCATGTGCAGAAGCCTTTGACCATCCTGTCATCCTTCTCTGCTCATTTTCTGGATCTGCTGTATTCTTGGGTTATGGGGCCCAGGACCACACACAGGCCAGGACTGACCTGGGAACAGTGGCACCCCTGCTGTTGCCTCTACCTTTTCCTACTCCCTCCTATCAGTTTTTAGAGAGAACCTCTGCAGGTTTGACCTTTGCTGAGTGCCAAGGAGATGTTTTCATGGACTGTCAGAGCTCCTCGTCTCAGAGCCCATCACTTTAGACATGAGGCAGGGTTTGGCTTCTGCATATGCGTCACTTCCCTGACACCAGCTGTTGTTTCAGATCCTGAAAGGCCTGAAACGTGTAGTGTTCATCCAAAGAATCCAGAATAATTCAGTATTATTAGCAGATTCTGTCACTTCTCTACTGACCTCATTCATCAAAGGATCTGCTTGGTGTAATATAGGTGACCTCTCAGCTGGAATTCACTTTAAGAGAACTGTGTCACCTCTTCTCCAGTATGTCATATTTATCCATCTGTCCTCTAACGATGCCAGTTTCCTACTCCTTATGCCAATTTTTGTTCATTTGCAGAGAACAGATGTGTTATTTATCAGTCTGAGACTCCCTGGCTGCCTCCACGGAAGCATTTTTGGTGCCACAGTTGCCACTTTCCAGTCCTCATGTCCCCTGGTGTAGCCAGACCTCGGGGGAGGTTGGGGTGTCACCCAGCAGTTGTGACATCCTCCCAGCCCCTGCTGTGCTGCATAACAGAACTTAAGCAGGGTGCTCACAAGGAGGGATGGGCCTGGAGTCACCACAGACATTTCTAAGCTCCTGGAAATGGCTTCTATTTGGAGCTGTGGAAGAAGTACCTGGTGATCCATGGCGCTGCAGGTTTCCCTGAAAGCCATGGGAGATGCTGGTGTCAACATCTCCCATGCCTGCAGCCAACCCAGTGGTTGGCAAGTGTCAAATGCTAAGTTCAGCCCCAACATCACTTGCAGGTGAATCATCTTTCAGCACCTCAAGAGCATACAGGAGCAGAGACCTTCTCCTCTGAGTCACAAAAACCTGCTGCCGGGGGGGATGCTAGGCTGTGTCCACACCACCCAGGGTTAAACAGGAGAGGAAGGTTTACCAAGACAACATAGTCTGAGCCCTCCTAGGCCCAGGAAAGGACCTGTGTCCTGCTCTTGGCACGGCTGCCAAACAGGTCTCCTGTCCCCAGCTGTGGGTGAGCACAAGGAGCACTTGGGGTAGCTGAAGCAGCTCCTCACACCCAGAAGGACGGTGAGGTCCAAGGATGCACACAGCTCTCCACAGAGCTGGCAGGAGTCCGGAAGACATTGCCTTGCTTTTTCTTCCTGGTGCGTGCTCCAACCTGCCTGAGAAGTGTTTACCCAGGCGAGCTATTAGACAGCTATTGCTGTGTTTGCTAAGAGGAAGGGCCGTGCTGTGAGCTCCAGCCCAGAGACAATAGGGAAGAGCTCCAGGACCCTTTAGAGATGGAAAAGAGGGTGGAGGGAGAGCTCCTGATGCAGAGCTCCATCCCCTGGTCCATGCAGGTCACTGCAGAAGGCTTCCTGTCTCCCCTGTTCCTGCAGTCCCAAAGAGCGAGCCAAAAATCACTTCTGTGCAGCCATGGGTTGCTCTCCTGACTGAGGACTGTGTGCACAGGGGCTGCACCACCATTGTTCTCCCCCACCGCCTTGTGGGCCACGGGCAGTGTGAGCAGCAGGCAGCCCTCGGGGCTGAGCATTGGCTGTGTGAGAAAGCAGCCGGAATGTGGAGTCTGGCACGCAAGAGGCGCAGTGTGCGCTCCCTGATCCTCTCCCATCTGCCCGCGTCCCCTGCCAGGCCCTACAAGAGCCATGCTGTGTGACAGCCATCTGTCACAGCGATCCAGTGGGTCTGCAGGTGGAGTAGCATTGCAGCCACAGTAGCAGTAGGGGGGTCAATCTCTGCACTGCAGGCATCATTCCTGGGTTCCAACGTGCATCATATACAAGGGATGTAAGCAACTGGGGACTGGAGGGACACCAACTGCAGCATGAGACACAGATGGAGCTTGGTTTCAGTGGTGTGAATACAGAAATCTGTTGGTGCTTCTTCAAACCTGATATGAGCTGCTGTGAAAGGAGAGATGTCGCTAGTGTCTCATTACGACTGCAGACGAGCAGCACATGCCTGTACTGAGCCACACAGTGTGTAAGGAGCTCATTTGGTTTCCTTCTGGACTTCCCTTTAAAGCTCACAGAGCACAAAGAAAAATCTACCCCAGCTGTGTTCTTTCCATCCTGCTGCCCCATGTTGCTGTGTGGGTGTTTCAGCCCAGGGGAAGCCCATATCCAGGGGGAGCTCAAACCTGAGGGCTCAGGTGGGTCCAAGGATCTTACTAATGCTCCTCCAAACTCTGCTGGAGCCTCTGGTAAGAAAGGGATGTCCCATGGGGTACATATCAGAGAACAGGGCTGTGTTAGGCCAGGTGCCCACCTGCCAAAAGGCCAAAAAGGAATTTAGAAGAGAAACAGGCCCAGCAAATGGTGAGGAGGTGCTAGGGTCCTAGGTGGGCTCAGACACAGACCTCCCAGCATAGCCCTGGTGCAGCTGCCTCTCCAAGGAGGCATCAGAGCAGTGGGAGGATGTGGTGGGAAGGCAGCACCTCTGCAATTCCTCTTGCATGGTAGTATTCCTTTTTTAAAAACCACCAGCACAGGCAGATCCCTCCTGGGTCAGCTCTCAGGAGATGCTAAGTGTGTGTTTTCCAGGCCTGAGGATTTAACAAGAGCCATCTCCAACAGACGTTGCTGAACATCCTCCTTGGTTACTGACAGAGGGTGGAAATGCTCTCAATCTCATGTGCCATCAGCCTTGCATCCTGCTTCCTTCCAAATGCCACGCAGATTTACTGAGAAGCTCTGTCTTTTCTGCATTTTAATAACAATCTCATCATCCCCATCTGCTGGGATTGAGGTCTGCTTTTAGACCTCAAACACTGCCTTGTATTCACTTTGTTCCTGGCAGACACTTTTTCTCCTGATGCATTTTGAGTCTTGCATTTCCTACGCTCTGAAATTTCCAGCTTTGGTTTCTTGAGGCCATGGCTGTCTTCTCCCGAGGAGGAAGCTCCCTTGACATTTGGTTGGGCCTGGGTGATCTGTCTGGGTTTCTTGAGGAGGACCTTCCAGTGTGCACATAATAAATCCACACATCTGGAACTCAGTGAGCTCACTTGGCACATGTTTGGCAGATGCCATGCCAGGCTGGCGCAGGAGGCTCAGATCCTCAGCAGCCCCATCCCAGCTCTCCTCCTGCACAGGGGCTGGAAGGAAGGGTGGTCACCATGGGAGGTTCTCTCTCTAGGCATCCCCTCCTCCCTGTGGCAGGCACCCCAACAGCCACATCCCAACATCTGTTCCCACAGTGGAGCAGGAGTCTGGCTCATGGTGTGAAGACAGGCAGGACCACACTGTGACATCTCTCCCCGCCTTCCTGGATACCTCTTCCTGGCTTCACCTCTGTGGTGGTCCTGCTTTCCAAGCATCCTGCCTCTGGCCCTGTCCCTTTCAGGTATGGTTGACCATGACCTTTGGGGGATTTGGCCTGTGCGCAGTGCTGGGATCAGGTCTGGGTGAATGGTGTGCACTCAGGAAGCGGTGTGCAGGATTCAGGAGCATAGGTCTAGAGCCAGGGCAGTGCACAGTGGCTGCTGGGGGTTAGGAGGACACAGGGAAACAGGCGGTCCTGGGTGGTGGGCACTGGTGGTGGCGGCTAGTGATGGGGTAGCAGTCAGAACATTTGTAAGCGTGCTGTTTGCCCTACGATGGCCTTGGCCTCTGCTGCCATGCTCTGACATACTGCTTCCAATGCTATTTCCCTGGTCTGTATGATTATCACCACTGTCCCCTTATCAGCAAACCCAGCCCTGTCTGGGCTGTACCTCAGGTAATGTCCTAGCTTCTGTCCTGGCCCCACGTGTGCTGGGCCTCAGCCCTGCAAGCTTGCCCTGACAGCCCTGCACACCCAGCCGTGGCTCAGCCTTCTTCCCAAGCACCTTCCCCTAGCTTGTCCCTGCTCGATCCGGCCCCGCACCGTTTTTTGCGGAGGTCCGTGGTGCCAGCCTGGTGTTTTGGCGACTCTCTGGGGATCAATCTGCTCTGCGGGTCCCGCATGGGGCTGGTTACATGCACGCCTCTGAGGGAGTGGGTTTGCCATCGAGGGACCCCGTACTGCTCCGGCAAATTAGCAGCGTCCCCGGTGTCCCTCCTCCCGGTGCCACTGCAGGCCCCTTTCCTGCGCTCCCAGCGTGGGCTGCGGTCTCCGCAGCAAGAGGGACTGGGCGGCCCGTGGGGACCGGGTTCATCCTCGGGGCCGGGGCACGACGCGGAACCCCTGGGACCAAGCCGAGCGCCAGCGGCCGCCTGGAGAGGGTGGCCGGCCCAGAGCACCAGGGAAGGCCGGGCGAGGCGCGGCGGTAGGCGGCCCGGGCGGCGGGGGTGCGGGGCGGGCCCCAGGGGAGGCGGGCCGTGCCGTTCCGGGCCAGGCAGCGGGAAGGCCGTGCCGGGCCGTGGGCAGCGGGACCGGGGCAGCGGGGCAGACGCAGGGGGAGGGGGGAGCCCCGCTCGGAGCAGCCGGCGCGGTGGCTCCGGCAGGTGGCACTGGCCGCCTCCCCCGGCCGCCTCCCCCGCTCCCCCCCCCGGCCCGGGCTCCGCCGCCGTCTCGTTCAGTCCGGCAGCGCCGATGCTGCTGAACGGAGCTGCGGCCGGCTCGGAGCGAGGCGGCGGCGCTGGGGCCGGGGCCGGAGGGGCCCCGCAGTGCGTAGGCACCATGGCCCGCTGGCTCCGCGAGCACCTGGGCTTCCGCAGCGCCAAGCCCGCGCCCCCCGCGCCGCCCAAGCCCGACTACCGCGCCGGGCCGCCGCCGCAGCCGCCCCCGCCGCCCGGGGGCGACGCCGAGCCGTTGGCCGCCGCCCAACCCGACATCGTGGCGGCCTACCGGTTGCAAAAGGAGCGCGACTTCGAGGACCCCTATAGTGGGCCGCCTCCGCCCGCCGCCCCCGACGGGCCCCGGTACGTTTCGCCCAAACACCGGCTCATCAAGGTGGAGGCGGTGGAGAAAGTGCCCGCCAGCCCCCCGCCTCTGACATCCGCCGCCCCCAGCTCGCCGCCAGCCGGCCCCGAGCTGCCCGATGAGCCACCGCAGGAGGTGAGTGTCCCGGCACGGGCACCCCGCCGCGCTCTCTGGGGTGCCCCAGCCCCATGGCTGGGGAATACTCTCGTTCACCCCGCCGGATCCTCAGCACCCGCTGCGAGGAGCAGGGCCAGGACCCCTGGGGCAGGTGGACTCCGAGCGCCGGGAGCCTGCGGCGGCAGGAGCCACGGCCGAGCTCCGCGTCCCCTTGGGTCCGGCTGCACCGGCAAGCTGCTCACACGTCAGCACCCGCGGCGCTGCCGGGCGGCCCCGGCTTCTCCAGCTGGAGGGAGGTAGATACGTTCCTCAGCAGGAAGTGTCGCTCACTGAGGTGCGGGAGCGCTGGGCCTACGGGCCACCTTCCCCTTTTCCGTCTTGCCGTTTCCTTGCAGCCGAGTGCAGAGGTGAAACCTCCAGCCGGGGAAGGCGCCCCTCATCACAGGACTGCCTCCAGCGGCCTCCGACGCTGGGGCCGGTGTCCCAGGGCCTTCTTCCACTCTGTGCCCAGCGGCGCGGGTCTCCCGCTGCCCTCTTACGAGGGTCTTCCCATGCCCAAGGCCGGCTCCCACCGAGCTGCCGTGCTGCTTTGTCAGGGAGCCTCAGCGCCTCTTTGTCAGCCCCTTCCCAGCCGGCTTCTCGAGGGGAGAAAGCGGAGCCTGGCTCTGCCAGTATTGAAAAGGACGAGAGAAACGTCCCCAGCGGGAGGCAGGAGCCGGGGAGAAGCTCCCTGTAGGGAGATAGGCTCTGAGCTGAACAAGGACCCGGCTGCGGCCGTTGGCGTCCGGCCTCTTGGTGGAGAGGTTGGTGCGGGGACTGCACAGATAAAGGCAGGAGCCCGCTGGCGCTGCCGCCTGCAAGATGGGGCTTGTCGAGTGAACTCGCGGGATTGCAGATCTGGCTGGTGGGGGGAACGGTGGGTACAGTGATCCCCTCCGTGGTCCTGTGTTGCCGGGCAGCATGATGAAACGAGCACCGAGCAAACTGCTTGGGAGTATTTTAAGCAGGTAGAAAAACTTGTTGCTGGTGGATCTTGGAAAGTTGCTAATACTGACCAGTTGCTTTTAGGAGGTTTCCGGAGGGGCCTGGCAGAAACCCCCATTTGAGCCAGGATCCTGTAAACTGGCCACTGAGGGCAGCAGAGGAGGAGGGCACTGGCAGCTGCGACCGGAGGTGCCATTGTGGTGATGTGTGTTTGCTGCATGCTTTTTCCCCTGGAACACGTGGTGTGGGATCACAGGGACCAGGATCAGGTGGTGGTCATAGGAAGAACTCAAGACTGTGATAGGCAAAGGGGTGAGCAGGAGCTGCAGGGAGTGGGTATTGCAACGGTACAGCCAGGCTGTGCTGGTGTCTGAGGACCGGGAAGTAGCTGGGAATTTTAGAGAAAAAGCCAAAAACTGGGATGCTTTGGAGGAAATCCCGCTAACAGCACTAGGCCAAAGAAGACCCCTCATGTTATCCAAGGTACATGGTGGTTAATCTCCTGATCTGCGTGTCCCTGTGGAGAGGAGGTTCTAATTCAGGGCTTCAGTATGTGATGGACACAGGCAGAGCTGTGGAGGCTGGGTGAAGCTGGACATAACGTGGGAATATTTGATAATGCATGGAACTGTCCATTAGAACAGTTTTCCTGGAGGAGCTGTGGAGGTTCCACAATGAGGAGCATCTCTGTTGGGCTTGAGCATCCTTTGCAGCTTCTGTCTGCTGGCCTTGACATTGGGCTGAGCAGTGGGAGGGTTCTCCAGTTGTTGCAGGGTCACGGTGGTTATCTCTGGAGGTGGTGGTCCAGGAGGATGGAAGTGCCTGCTGGGGGGTTACTGATGCTTGTGGCCCTTGCTCTTGGAGACAACATCAAGTTATCCTAGAGCAGGAAAGGCAGGATGGCCTCTGCTGAGCTCTTTAAGCCAAGATGATAGTTGTGGCAGGGGGCTCTGTGCCCCCATTCTTGGGAAGAGGTGATGGGCACTGTTCCCTATGTGTTGTGGGGACTGGGAGTCTGAAAAGCCTTCAGGTGTAGGCCTTGAGTTGTGGTGACGCTGAAGGTAAAGGGAGAAGTATGATTTTAGGTAGAGGCAAGACTGCTTTTTACCAGAGAGGGTTTTTTTTTGCTAAAGATTGACAGTGAAAATCAGCCTAATAAATTGTGCAGCCCTTCCAGGCAGGGAGACTGGAGACGAGCAGAAGTGGAAGGAGCAACTATCAGTTCCTGGCTGTGTGGTTTGGCCAAGGCTCTGTAGTTTGTGGTGGTATGGGCTCTGCGCTGAGTTTGGGGGACTGACCATGTTCCCTAGAAGCCCTGTGTTCACTGTAGCTGTCCTGTCATTTCTGGAGAATTGGAGACAGGGCAGGAGCATCTTGGCAATGGCACCCTTCCTGCCTGGGCCATGCGGTACTTTGCTGTCATAGCATGAATCACATCTTTCTGACTTGTGTGGAATCTGCAACATCTTGTGGGGATGCGCTTAGAATGAGCTCTGCAGTGGCCTCTGCTCCATTAGAAGCGCTTGCTGGACATGCTGGGGACCAGCACAGGCCTTTCTCCATCTGCTTGGTCTGGGCAGTGTTTTCCCTGTAGCAGTGGACAAGGCTGGCCCTGTATGGCTCGAGGATACCCTGGAGGGGTGGCGAGGTGGATACCCTGGAGATGTCTTCTCTGCTGCATTTGGATTGAGTGCAAGGAACAGTGCCGCCAGGATGCAATGGGGAAAGGTGTGATGAGGGACCTCCCTGCATTGGGAACACCTGCACCCACGGCATGCAGTGTGCTTAGGGAGTGGGTTGGGAATCTGTCCTGGGCCATGGGGACATCTTTGTCTTGTGCCCACTGTACCCGTCACTGGTGTTTTTGCCGGGTGCGCAGTGTCGGTGCCGCGGGGTGTGGGAACGGCTCGCCAGGAAGCTCTTGGGTGTGTGTCCTTCCTGCAAGAGCCTCCCTGAACTGAGTCATCATGTGCGATGTGGTGCTGTCCGCCCTGCACTCCTCCTCCCGTGCCATGGGTGCAGCCCTGGGCTCCCCGCCTGCCCCAGTGAGCTGTGGACCGGACCTGTTTTGGAAGGCCAGCACTATGTTTGCTTTTGGGTTTGGCTTTGGCATCCACTGAAAGCCAAGGTGCAAGATACATGAAACTGGGAGATTCTGCACCTGACAGAGCGAATGAACTGAGTTTTATATAAGTTAGGGCACCTTCAACATTAAACAGCAATCTCCCGGGGGACCCCAAGCATGCTTTATCTCCAGGGCAAGATGGGGTGAAGAGCTCCATCTCTACTGCGGCATCTTGGAGAGCCACTGTCTGTGTCACATTCTGTGGTGGGCAGCATAAAAACCCGGTGATGATGTGGTCCTTCACCTTAATGTTCTTTTGATTTTCTTTTCTTACTGTTGGCATAAATAGTAGAGCAAGGCCAGCCTCAGCATGGCAGCAAGGATCTGGGTGTGCATTGCCACAGCAGATAAATGCATGAAAAACTCCTGTGTGCAAGGAGGACTTGTGTCCAAGTGCCAGAAGTACCTGACTGCTCTCTGAAGGACTGGCCTGCACTAAGAGCTACCCTGGTGGTGTGGTTTTGCATGTCAGGCTTTTGCTTTGCGCGTAAATAGTTTGAAATCTAATAGAGCTTGTGCTGTGCATGAGCAGGCGATGCATCAGTACCTAAGCCTAAGCATCTGCATGGTGTGCTGTGATAAGCTGGGTGGTGAGTGGCTTCCTCTGTGATACGGGAGATGAGTGAAGCATGGAAATGCCTGGCCTTTAAAAGAAGCAGGGGGTGTCTGGGGCACCCCACTGAGCTGCTCTGCCGGCAGTCATGGTGCCTGCACTGGGGCAGCGCTCTGTGCACTGTGGCTGCCGCAGAGAGCTTTGCGTGGCTTGTGAAGTTCAGTGCTCAGATTAGGAAATGTCAGAGGTGTAGTTTCCTGGCAACTTTAGTTTGGTCCCACATGCAAGGGCATTAGGAAGCAATCGGTAATTGCATTATCCCTGCCATTTGCCTCCTAAGAGCCCTCACCCATTCCCAGCACTAGCTGCAGCCTCCAGCCTCAGAGCCTGGGATTCTGTTCTCACTTGCTCGATAATGCATCCTGAGGATGCAGTGCTCCTGCAGACAGGAGTTGCCTTCCCACCTTTTCCATTGCTCTCCACAGTAATATCTGACCATTTAAAAACTGAATGGGTTTACATTCTTAGCAGCCTACAGTGGGGAGACTTTGCTCCTACAAAGAGTCATCCTTGAGATAGTGGAGGAGTTTGCCACTGTGGCAAAACCCAACCAAACCTGGGGGGCTCAGAGACTCGTACCCTTGATCTGAGCCGTTTGCTTTGGGTCTGAGCTAAGCACAGCAAACATTGTCTTGGCTGTGTAGAGCCTGTCTAATTGCTGAGTGCCTCTTTATCCCCCACCAAGTGAAACACCCAATTTTAGGGGTCTCAGCAGAGATGTGTTAGAATTCTCCACCATCCTTTGCTTTCTAGACCTGGAGGCATCTGAGTGGGGACCACTCTGAGCTTGCTGGAGCTTGTGTCCCCCTTCCTGGGAAGCAAGACCAAAGCACTGAGGAAAGGGCTTTCCTTGGGTTGGGGAGGATGTCTGTTGTGTACAGAGGAGTCTTTCAGCTTCTGAGCTGCTTTGCTGGTGCCCTGTCTTGTCCAAAGTTGCTCCCTATTTATGGGGAGGGAGAGGGAGGGTCCAGGACTGGTGCCAGCAGCAATTCAGGTCTATGTCTAGCAAAATGCATTTAGGAAATGTTCATGGCAGGTTTGAATGTGGGGAGGTTGGGCTTGGGGTGGGAGGAATGAGCAGGCAATCCTTTTCTGAGTCCTGGAGGGTCAGCAAACTGTGTTTTAAAGCTCCACGTCATGTTTGGAGCCACAAGAGTTCTTTCCAGAGGGTACGTATCGGTGCTGCCTCACAGGTGCTCGCATGTTAAGCCTATGTGTCTGTGTGTGTTGGGACGCCTGCCCGCATGCTCCTGCCTCCCTTGGCACCAGTACGTATGTGAATAAGCGTGCAGGGGACTGTGCTCTGTGAATGCCATTGGGGTGGAGCAAAAGCCTCTTTGCAGCTTTCCAAGGCATGGGTGCCCACTGGACCTCCAGGCTGTTTGGAACAGCAGGCACTGATCTGCCCTTTGGATCTTGCAGGCAGCAAATGGGAAGTACCTGTCTTGCAGGCAGGAGAGGAAAAGGGTGTTGAGAAAGCAGAGGGGCTTCCTGCAGTGAATTTGCTGTTGCTGTTGCTCATCTCCGCTCTATGAGCATTATGTCCCAGTGACCAAGCATTTGTAAAAGTCACCAGTGACTTAGATTTCCCTTGGGGGATTTCTCTCCAGTGGTGGCAGGCAAAGAGCTGCAGCTCCCCTGGGGTCAGCGTTGTCCCTTGGTGGCCCTGGTGCCTGGCAGAGCCTGAGCGATGCCACATCTCCCTCAGATGATGGAGCAGGTTTCCTGTCTCCTGCTGCAAAGCCAGGGACTGGCTGCTCCTGCAGCCCTGTCCTGGGCCCTTCCTGCAGAGCCAGTGGGAGGTTTTGCTCTTTTCCTCTCATCCGGGGAAGGTTGGTACCCCAAGCAGCATCTGTCCCCTTGTGAGGGGTGAGAGCATCTATTTGCACCCATGCTTGAACCTCCCCATGTACTCGCCCTGGCTGGCAGGCTTTGCTCTGGGGATGATGCTCTGCTGCTCGCTTGTGCTCCAGCATGGAGGAGCTGGCCTTGGGAGAGCTATCCCAGCTCCCCACTGCATTGGCCAGGCCAGAGCGGGAACACTTATGGAGGCAGTGGTGAACTGGAGTGGGGGAAACCATGTTCCACATCTCAGAGGGATGTGAAGGCTGTGTGGAGGTGTTTACAGCTCCAGTTCCTGTTCCTTTTTCCTGATGGCTTTTGCTTCTTGAGGCCATTGTAGGCCATTGTGCACAGGAAGGAGGAAGAAGTGTTTTGTTTTAAACTGCTTGTGGGAGCTGGATAGGAATGTGTGAATGGCTCTGGTCTCCAAGGCTGGCCAGGAGCAGGGGCAGCATGGTGGTGAGGACAGACCCTGGCACCAGGTAGGATTAAGCAGCTGCCACACCATGCTTGGGCCATTTGGTTCTTTCTGTGGGAGCTCTGTATAGCTGGCATTGTGGTGGCAAAACCTATCTTGCCAGATGGTCCAGTCTGGGGGTTGCAGCCTGGTGGGGGAGCAGACCAAGTAAAGGTGCTTGGGTGCACTAGGACCCTGCTGGAAATGTTGCCTGGCCCTATTTTGAGACCAGCCTTTGAGGCTGGAGGTGGGATGTATTGCTCCAGGCTTTCCAGGGGCTGCAACACTGTGTGATGGAGTGCTCCAGGCTGGGAAGCTGCTGAGATGCCAGAGCAGATGTGTGGCTCCATTGCTGGAGAGGATCAAGCTCTGGGACATGCCTCGTATCCTACTTCAGGATCCCCTCCTTTTTGTTAGCAAGAACAAACCTCAGGCATTTTGTGCCATTCCTTTGATGTGGCACTTGAGAGGCTCCTGGTCTTACTTCCTGGTGACTCCTGAAGGAGCCCTGTCTTACGCTACTTGGGACATGTATGGGGATGCTGTGGGGGCCTTGGAGGGAGCAGAGAAGATGCCATAGGCTGTTCTTAGGTCTTTTGTTAAGAAATATCTTCATATGAGCCTGCAGGAGCCCTGGAAAATAAGCAGTGAGTTCCCAGTTGTGTCAGTGCAGGCTGACACACCTGTCCTGGGATCTAAGCCCCTTCTCTGTGTTGGGCAAGGAAATGTGGCTGCACACAGAGAGAGTATCTGTACACCATGGTGGGGGTGGCACTGCCGGCAGGCCCATGCCACTGCAGGGGCCTGGCTGGGGCATCTGCATGGCGCTGGCCGTGCTGAGCTGATGGTAAGGGAGGAGGCAGGGCTGCCTTCTGCTCTGCTTGGCTCCATTCCAACTTTCAGGACAAAGGCTGGAGCATTTCCACAGCTGAGTGCCAGTGCTTGGAAAGCCACCAGCTGCCACCACCTGCTCTGCGGGGTGCCATGGTGCTGCTGCTCTGGCTGCAGCTAGCAGAGCTTATGGTGAGGTTTCAAGGGGCTTCAGCTGGTCCCTGATCCTCCCCATAAAAGGCAGGGAGGACCCTAACCCTTCTCCTACCTTCCCTCTTTCAGCTGGCTGTCCTGGAGGACTATGCAGATCCCTTTGATGCGGCGCAGGTGGCAGGTAGCCAGGCAGGGCTGGAGAAGGTGACAGAAAATGATGGATACATGGAGCCGTATGAAGCGCAGAAGATGATGGCTGGTAAGGTGGAAGGCTCTGTGCAAAGGCCACTCTTTGCACCCCTGGTTGCTTCCATGTCAATTTGCTTGCCGCTCTACTCTCTTCCTTGCAGCCTGAGACAGCACTGCGATCCCCAGACAAAGCAAACCTGGACAGTTGCTGTGGTGTGGTGCGCAGCCACACTGCAGGCAGATTTTCTCAGCTTTAGCCACGTGTGATGGGCTTGCCATAGTCAGGCCACTGACAAGGGTTATCCAGCAATGAAAGTACTTCAGTATTTATCCCTTCAATTTTGCCCCCCAGGACCACGGTGCCTGCCTGCCAGGCTGAGCCAGGAGAGACCTGACATTTGGTGCGTCAGGCATAAAACTAAGATGGATGTGGAGCTATTTAATTCAGTTCGGACTGGGCCAGACCATGCCATTGTGCGCTGTGGCCGTGGCCACGGCTTGTTTATGGTGGGTGAGGGGCGAGTATGTGCTCCTGAAGGCATCCCTCCTACTGCTGCAGGGTCACTGTACTGCTTGCATGCTCCAGGCTCTGGCTTTGCTTTGCAGCTCCATGATTTTCCTGGAGTGAGTGGTTTCTGGAAAGCTCATATGGCTTTTTGGACTAGACCATTGCATTTCTTGGAAAAATCAGCCAGTGGTGAAGGGAATGCTTGTGGGAGACTTTTGTTTGAGGGAAGAGCATTTTATTAAACTAACCATGCTGGGTGTTCAGGGAAGAAACCTGGCCTCACTGCTCACAGGGAATTGGGCTGTGGGGTGCTCTGTCCCCATGGACCCTGCTTTGTGGGGCTGCCCAACAGTGGGGATGTTATACTGTGGGAGAAAAGGCGTCTTGCTGCTGTGGACTGCTCAGGACCCAGCTGCCCAGCAGCTCCCCCATTTCTGGCAGACACGTGCTGAAGGTTTGGGCAGTGTCCTCCATCGCTGATGCTCCCTACCCCACACTGCCCTTAGGTGAAACTGAGCCCTTTCATCCAGCAGGTCTCTGGGGACCATGGCCGGTGTGTCAGGCAAAAAGCTCATGGTCTTTTCACTCCTCTCTTGTTAGAGATCCGCCAGAAAGGCTTACGGGAGGCTCCTGCCCGGCCGCTGCACCTCTACGACACTCCCTATGAGCCTGTGCTTGGAGGGCTGGACATGGATGGTGACCGCCCAGCTTGCCCCAGGCCCAGGGAGTCCCGGCTGCCGGAGGATGATGAGCGGCCACCAGAGGAGTATGACCAGCCCTGGGAGTGGAAGAAGGAGCGGATCTCCAAAGCCTTTGCAGGTGAGATGGGAGATGAGAGATGGGAGTAGCTGTAAAGCAGCTGATGCTGTGTTGCATTTTGCAGGAGGGGAAGCCAGCTCCTTGATGTTCCTTTGTCTTTTGGGGATTCAGTAGTGTTGGCTTTTGCATTTCTGTGGTTCAGGGAGCAGTCATGAACCTGGAAAGGCTGTTTCTTTTCAGCTGGGAGCCAGGCTGGGTGGAGTGGTGAATGGAGCTGCCTTGGCAGACTGTCCGGTGCCCATCCCTTGTTTCCCCTTCCCCCTGCTGGCTGATCAGAGGCTCTGGTGCAAGTTAACCCCACCTGAGCTTTGAATTGCAGAGGTGTGGTTTGACCGTGGGCTCAAGCAAATCCTTCCTTCACTGGGGCAGGAGGATCCTCCGGGAGCCTTTGGCCAGGTGATTGTCCAGGCTCCTGACCTATTTATCTGTGCTGCAGGATCGATGGTGTTAGTGTTTGTTAATGAGGAAATCCATGCTGGGCATTAGCGCTGGCTCCTCTGCCGGTGCTGGCTAATTGCCACATTCTTATCTAGGATGCATTTTAATTGCAGCATTATATGTTTAAATTGCAGCTGGCATGCACAAGGTGCTCGAGCCAGCAGCAGTGTTGCGCAGAGATGCTGGCAGAGAGAGACGTGGAGTCTTGGGACTGTTTCACCTCTTGGGTTTGGGCTCTGTGAGCTGTTTGCTGTCTCTACGCCATGGCATCTACTCATGCTGTGGGATTGCGTTCTTACCATTGCACTCGGTGGGTACAGGGTCGGTGACCTTGGCACGCTGTGCAGAGGATTCAGCTTATAGGGCTCCGTCATGAAACACAGTGCGCTGCTGCGTTAGGTTTGTGCTGAGGTGTTTGTGCTCCAGATCTGGGCAGATGAGCTGCCTTGCTTGATGTCCCTGTGTGTAGGTGGAGTGTTCACAGGTCTGGCTTGCACGTGGATGCATGTGGGTACTCCCCAGGGTGCTTCAGGCTTGCTCCGAGTCCTGAGGGAGTCAGGCTGCCATGCCCTGGGCCACATTAGGACCTGCTGCCTGTTTTCTTCTGGAGCCAGAGCAAGTCCTGCTGTGGCTTGTAGTGCATTTCTCCTCTCTTGCTGTGCCAGAATCTCTCTGCTGGCCCTCTTCCCCTTTGGGGGGCCTGCAAGACCCCTGTTGATGGGCAGCTAGTACCAACACAAGGAAGGAACCAACTGGTGCCTGACAGGGGGATGTGGACCCCATGGGGTGGTTGTGAAGCACCTGGGGCAGGACGGATGCACGGGCAGGACAGATGGCAATGGAATGCTTAGTCAAGGTCCACTGGATGGATGTGTATGTGGGATGGGGGTGATTGCAGGCCCCCCCCTGCCCCAGAGAAGTTTGGCTAGGAAATCTGATGGAGGAGCAAGGTCTCCTTTGGGAGTGTGCCCCATGTTGGGCCTGTTCCTGCTGAGTGCTGTGGATGAGAAGGGGCGGCCAAGCTGGCATAGGGCTTCCAGGAATTTAGTCCATAGGTGTCATGGTTTAAGCCCAGCCAGTAACCCAGAACCATGCAGCCACTCGCTCACTCCCTCCCTTCTTCCCTCCCAGCTCTCAGAGGGTTTGAGAAGGGCATCAAGAGAATGTAAATACCATGGGTTGAGATAAGAACAGTCCAGTAACTAAGGTATAACACAAAACCACTACTATTAATAAGGGAAATAACAAAGGGGAGAATATAAAACTAAAAGGGGAAAAGGAAAAGAATAAACACAAGTGATGCCCAATGCAGTTGCTCACCACCTGCTGACTGATACCCAGCCTGACCCGAGCAGTGATCTGGGCCTTCCAGGTAACTCCCGCCAGTTTCTATACTGAGCATGATGTGCTGTGGTGTGGAATGCCCTTTTGTCTAGTTTGGGCCACATGTCCTGTCTCTGCTTCCTCCCGGCTTCCCATGCCCCTCCTCACTGATAGAGCATGAGGCCGGAAAGTCCTTGATCGGGCTAAACATCACTTAGCAACAACTAAAAACATCGGTGTGTTATCAGTGTTGTTCCTAGACTAAAGTCAAAAACACAGCACTCACCAGCTACTAAGGAGAAAAATGACTGCTACAGCTGAACCCAGGACAACAGGTCTTTCCCGCAACAACTGCACTCCTTCTCCATGGGCCTGGTGTTGGTGATGGTTTTTTTCTAAACTCTTTTCTTTCTCTCTTCCCCTGCTAATCCCCCTCTCCCCCCATCCAGTTGAAATCAAGGTCATTAAAGACCTGCCATGGCCACCGCCAGTGGGACAGCTCGACAGCAGTGAAAGCCCCGCGGACAGTGAGGCTGGTGCCTCTGTCCCTCCGCAGCATGGCCAGCCCGGCTACGAAGACGCCAATGGTGGGTCTTGGGTGACAGTGGGTTATCCAGGGGGACTGTCTGGTGCTCACCATGACCAAGATGCTGCAACTTTTTGATCTTGCCCAGACCTGGCAGAGCTCTGTCTGCTTCCTGTGCTACTGCCAGACACCCACCTTTCTCCTCCGCCTTCCCCCAGCTGCTCCTGCCCTGTTCAGTTGTCCTGTGCTGGATGCCAGACATTTGTCCTCACCTCTTCTGCGTCTTCTCTAGCTCCGTGATGCCTCTTTGCATGCATTGGTCAGGCTGTACCAGGGCATTATTTGGTGGGAGAGTTACTACCTTTTATTCTCTTCTCCTTGCCTCCAAATTCCCAGTGTTTGATGGTTGCTTTTACAGTCTTTTTGACAACTGCTCTGAGCATTTAGCTGATGTTTTCTTGTGACTCTTAATATCCACATCCCTTAAAGGTGTGGTAGCAGCTAATTCAGATGCAACCGCTGAAGTTGAGGTTGTTTTTTCCCCTTGAGCCTCACTTTGTCATTTATTTCTGCTCTGTTTCCTCCACTGTGTTATTACCTTGCTGCTCAGTGACAGAAGATCCTTCTGGATTTTTCACTCATTTTTTCTATCCTGAACAGCTATATCTCCCAGGTATGCTCTGTCATCTCAGGTTTGCGTTGTTATGAAGCCTTTTTCGTGTGTGCTAGTAGCAGAGCCACCCATATATGTCCTCCCTTGTACTCTGCTGGCAGCCTGGCTTATGAAAGCCAAATATTGCTGCTTCTCTTTTAACCTCCTATTAAAATTTTAAGGATGTTGCTCTTACGCTGTGGTGAATGTGGATTAGGGTTTTGCTAAGAGCATTAGGTGGGGGCTTTGTTGAAAACCACCCACACTTTTGGGGTTGGGCTGCTGCTCTTGTGGTGGACCTGTGATACATGACTTTTCCTCTGCACCCCAGCATGCCATGTCTGCCTGTGTTTCACTAACACTGCTCCTGGTAGACACTGTGACATGCCAGCTGCAGATGGCTGATTTCCTTATCTGCAGTTACCCAGGTTTCTGCATTGCTTCTGGAGAAAAACCAGTATGGCTTTTGGTGTCTCCCAGGTGGGTTTGAGCATGAGGTTGCACGTGACAGCTGATTCTGCTGCTGATCATAGTGAGACTTCAAGAGTGATGCGGCTGCTCTACTGTGGGGCTATGAGCCAAACCTGCAGTGATGCTACAAACTGAGATCAGTCCCAAAAGAGAGACGTCTTGGCAGAGGGAAACTTCCTGATCTTCCTGCAGTGAATGCAAGTGTCAAGAAAAAATAATTTCTTTGCTCCTCAGCCTGTTCTCTTCCCCCATCATTTATTATCCCGGCAGTCACTCTGGCACACATCCTGCCCCAATGAACACATTAGTTTGACATTTTACCTGGTTTTAGCAACAGAGTATTTGCCTTTCCCCCCTCCCCCGCCCCGACTTGCTTTGTTGTGTTACGTTTATCTTGTCAGAGTTTTGCCTCATTTTCTACTTTCCCTGTCTGGGGGTGACTTGAACTTCTTGAGGGATGTCATCTTCCTCCTAGGGGCTTGTTTTTAATATCCTGTTCAATCATGCACATGCCTCTGCCTCTCTCTGACAGGTGCAATGTATTTCTTCTGAGTCATTAACATGATGACTCTGTGCCACCAGCACACTTCACTGGTTTGTTTTTCTGGCTTTTTAGTGATTGCCCAATTTTTAGGGTGATGAGTTTAAATTGAAGCCTGGATGTTATGTATAAGGGCAAGCCTGGCCAGTGAAAAGCCAGACCACCCTTAATGCTGGGCACCTCTTTCCCAAGCTCTTTCTCTAGGGATTTTAAGCCATGCTATGTTGCAGTCTTTTGGCTGGGTTTGCTTTCAGCTGCCTTTTCTCCTTGTTGCTGGGAAGCTGATGACCTGCTCACCTGTGCAGGGCCCAAACAAGGTTTTCCTCAAACAGCCGCTGTAGAGGATGCCCTGCTAAAAAGAACATCCCTCCCAGGGTAATATTTTGCCTCTGCCCTGCAGCAGTGTGGCCTCATCATCCTATGCTTTTGCCTCCCCCTTGAGCAGCCAGGGAGCATCAGGAGGGGGAAGTTGCCAGCCTGGAACATCCCACTCTTCCTAGGAGCTGCAGTGCCTGAGCTCAGCTACCTCCAGGGAGACTGTGCCTCCATGCACCAGCCACTGGCAACCTTGCATCAAGGCAGCTCTGCCTGATCGATAAGTCATTTGTGTGATGGGGCCTTGTGCTGTAGGGGTGCAATAATGAACTCTCTGGAGGAGGGAGAAACAATACTGTTAATGTTGAAATCATCCCACACAGAAATAACAGTCAATAGGAGGCTGCGTCCCTGGGGCACATCTCAGTTAATCCCCTGCTGCTCACCAGGCCATTGCACATTGTTGAGGCAGGATGGCCAGTGGCTGGGCCAGTGCTGGGCAGGCAGCTGCACTGGGAAAGCACCTTGTAGTCAAAATGTCCCCTTCATTCCTTGGGGAATTATTTTTTTCACCTCAGGAGATTTACTTGTGCCAGCAGAGATGTGTCCATCATTTCCAAACGGACTGACCTCTCCAGCTTCATCTACCCACTCCTCATGTTTGTTTGTTTTTCCCCAAGCTTGGAGAGCTTCTCCTTACTGCTTCTCACGTAAATCTACTGCAACAGGTGAATCTCTGATTGCTTTTCAAAGAATCATTGAATGGTTTGGGTTGAAGGCACCTTAAAGCTCATCCAGTTCCAACCCCTGCCACGGGCAGGGACACATTCCACTAGAGCAGCTTGCTCCAAGCCACTGTGTCCAACCTGGCCTTGAACGCTGCCAGGGATGGGGCAGCCACAGCTTCTCTGGGCACCCTGTGCCAGCGCCTCAGCACCCTCACAGGGAAGAGTTTCTGCTTAAGAGCTCGTCTCAGTCTCCCCTCTGGCAGGTTAAAGCCATTCCCCTTGGCCTGTCCCTACAGACCCTTGTCACAAGCCTCTCTCCAGGTTTCCTGTAGCCCCTTTAGGCACTGGAGCTGCTCTAAGGTGTCCCCTTCAGGGGCCTTCTTTTCTGTAGGCTAAACCACCCCAGCTCTCTCAGCTCTCCAGAGCAGAGCTGCTCCAGCCTTCATTTTGAAAAAAGGGAAAAAGCTTTTGAGACTTGCCTGGAAAATAATTTCCAGGGGCTCAGGTGCTGTGAGAACCTCAGTCCTGACATGGCGGGGACTCAGCCTTGTCTGTCTTGGGGCACTGCAGTGAACATCAGTCCAGTAGCTGCTCTGCCCTGCCCTCCCTTGCTTAGGACAAGGGGACAGGGCAGCGCAGTGTGTCCCAGCATGATGTGACATGGCTCTTTCTGCTGACTGTCCACATGGGGAAAGCTGTGAGCCCAGCCTGTCCGCTGGTCCTCAATGCTGGTGTGACGTGTGTCTGTCTTGTAGGTCCATCGGAGGGGCTGGGGTATGGTCGCACTTCACCCTGCAGGGAGGAGAAGGCCAGGGCTGCCCTGAGGCATGGCTCCAGCAGTCTAAAAAGCACGAAGACGCTCATCGCCGAGCCTGGCCCCTTTGTTGGGGAGAGGATTGACCCTGCCCTGCCCCTGGAGAGCCAGTGGTGAGTCCTGCCTGCTGTGGGTGGCTGCTCCAGGATCCTGGTGGCTGCACCATGCTGAGCCCTGGGGCAGACCTATTTCTTCCTTTTTCCCTGGCCTCACCTTTCTGCCTGCTTGTCCGTCCTGCCCATCCTGCAGTTGTGGTGTCCCCATGTGCCCCCTGAACCCCCCTGAGCTGCCTGGTGGAATCCCTGCCCCTTGTCCCCCATCCCTAGTGGTGCCACCCACATCCCTCCTCCTAAACAGTGGCTGCTGTCCCTGGGGAGGTTCCAGCAGTGCTGAATTGCAGCTGCCCCAGGGCAGGGTCCTTCCTGGGGTGTCTGTTCTGCCTGGCACATCTGGTTCCTCTTCAACCTTCAGCTGGTACCATGGGGCCATCAGCCGGACGGATGCAGAGGCTCTGCTGAGGCTGTGCAAGGAGGCCAGCTACTTGGTGCGCAACAGCGAGACCAGCAAGAATGATTTCTCCCTCTCCTTGAAGTGAGTGAGCCCAGACGAGGCTGGGGGGTGGTGGACCCACCGCAGAGGTGACTTGGTAATGTAGGTGACCCTTCATGGATGGGTGCCCCATGCAAACGTATGCCTGTGCTAATGGGGTGACTGAGATGACCACAGCATGGTCAGAAATGGCTGGAATACAAAGTCTGCACTTCTCTGTGGTGTGTCACAGGCTTCTGGTTTGGTGCCTGGCAAAAGTATGTCTTGGGAAGGCTTGAGGATCTGGAGGCATGCTGCTCTTCCCTTGGCAGTGCTAGTAACCCCTCAAACAGATAAAATTATGTGCCTCACTGCTCACTTGAATGTGTCTGGTTACAGCTTCCAGCTCTGGCTTGTCACCCTTTTTTTTTTTTTTTAGCTTATTTTCATGAGAAAAGAAAGTTTGTGTGATCTGTTCATGGACATGCAGGTACCCATCCCTGCCTCCCCAGCCCATGTAGTCATTGAAGCTGTTGCTCAGCAGCACTGTAGAGAGGGAATTACCCTGTTCTGGTTCCCCAGCAGGAAAACCTCACCCTTCGCATTTTATACATATATATATATATATATACATCTATATATAGAGAGAGAGCTTGGTTTCTGCTTGGGTTTTTTGGGGGGATCTTTGCATCCTCCCCAAGTTTTCCAGGTTCCCTGAGCACCAGAACTGCATGAACATCACCACGTGTCTCCTGCTGAGGAAGGGGGGAGCTGCCCAAAGCTCTTCAGCTCTTTTGTGATTCTTGGGGTGTGAAATGAAAGCTGATACCTGTCCTGAAGATGATGATGGATTATCAGATGCCTTCTTGCCCTTCTGCTGGATGACTATTTTAGCTCTTTTCCTGGCAGATGTGGAAAAAGTATTTATTGAGCACTTTAGTCATCTCTGCCCAACAACAAGCCACATACTCCTATGCTTTTCTCAATATACTTTAAGTTTCCTCAGTGCTTTCTGTACCTGCATTGCTCCCTGGTGGTTTCAGCCTCCTGTTTATTTCCCAGTGACACAACTGTGAGTTAGATTGCTCTGTCTGTCTTTTCTTCCCCTTTTATTTCTGCCTTCAGCACCAAGCAAGGGCCAAAGTTGAGGTTGGAAATATTCTTTCTTCCTTCTGCAGTTCTAGATTTTGAATCAAACAATGACTCCCTCCTTTTCTTTATGGTTTTTCTTTTTTTTGGTCAGAATTTGTACTGATGTTTTAATTTCCTCAATATTTGTTCCTTCTATGGCTTGTGAGCGATTTTGAAGCAACATTGAAGCAACAGCTTCTGCTGGCTGGCTCATCTTTGAGGCTGCAAGAGGTCCTCTTGGCCATCACCTTGTGGGTGGCGTAGGCCAGCATGTGTGGTGGCATTTGGTTGTTGATGGGGCTTCATCCTTCACCAGCATGGGTGTCCCTTTTCATCACCTCTCTACAAGCCAGTCACACATTTCTTTGGGTTTTGTTCCTTACTTCTTACTAGCCGTCCTTGGCCTTGTGACAAAAAGGGCCAAATCGTGTTCTCAAATATGTATATCTAGGATATGTCCTTTCAATGGTGTCCCTCCTCCCCAGAGGAGACTGCAGCGCATCCAGGAGCTGCTCGGGCATTACCTGTCTGTCAGCTGTGATTGCAGTGAGCCCACAGCCCCAGGAACATGATTTTTACTCCACTGCCTTTCTCTATAGAGCCTGTTCAAGGAAAATCCCCTGGGATGCTTTTTATATACCTTTAAGCTGGCTGTCTGCATTTCTATTATTCTTTTTGTTGTTGTTGTTGAGGAAGGAGGCGCAGCATAGGATATGGTCTGAAAGAGAGCTCCCATGCTGACCTAAAGCCCTTTTGTGCTGCTTTAAAGGAAAATATGCACTAGAGAGAGCAGTAGGAATGCTGTACCCATAGTGTGTCAGGTTGCCGGAAGGATTTAGCCCTGCCATGACACTCCTGGCTGGTCGAGGCTGGGCAGCCCCACATTGCCTGTTGTGAACAGGGTTGTAATGTGAATGCCTGAAACACTTGGAGAATTAATCCCTCCTGGATCGCACCTCTGTGAGAGTGGCTGAGGCCATGCTGCAAAGGTTTGGGTCCTTTTTCATGTCTGTAAGGTGCTCGGCAGGAACAGTGGCTGCCTCTTATCTTCCTCCCACCCCTGCTACTGGCTCCAAGCCTGTCGGGTTTGCAGCATGCTCCCTCAGCCATGTCTCCAGGGGTCTGATCTAGGTCATGTCCCTGAGCTTGTGACAAAGACCTCTGGACGAAATACAACCAGCATCACCTCTCTGTGGATCCATGTGGCAGTGCTCTGGCTCCAGACCGGCACTGACCCAGCACCAGGCTCCTGCACCCCTCCCACCTGCCAGCAGAGGCAAGGGCTGGGTCTCCCTGCAGACGGTGCAGTGCTGAGGGCAGCATCCATGGGCAGCTCCACGTGTTAGTGCTGCGACCATATGTGTGCATGCAGGTGCACCTTCACAGGTGCCATGCATGGGGCAGCCCTGCAGCTCTTCCCTCCACCCTGCCACTGGGATGCAGGATGGGGCCAGCTATCGCTTTTCCTTGGCTCCTGGCAGGGGGTTGCGGCTCTGCCCTCCCATGGGGCTGGCTCCTTGCCTCTCAACTCTAAATGGATTGCAAACCCATTCTGCTAATGCAGCCGGGCTGTCCATTATGGGTACTGACTCCAGCTGGGGGGAAGGGACTGGCCTGCACAGCGCTGGAGGCTGCTCAGCATTGCTGATGAGGTCCTGTCTGCTTTTAAGTCATCAATATTTTGCCTTAATGTGCATTCCAGACGCTGCAGACAGGCTGTGGCTCTCCTCAGAGACGCAAATTAATAGCAACAGGGCCATTAGCCCATCACTTGGAATCAGTGCTCATGGCAGGATCTGACTGCACAGCCTCATATGGCTCAGTGCCTGTGCTGCACCAGGAAATGGCCTCACTACACTGAGTGGGTTCTATGGAGTCCTCAGTGTTGGCATTTAGGGGGATGGGGGACCAACATGCTGTGGGCTGAAGGAGAGAATCCTGTTTTGCCATGGTGAGACTGGAGATAGGTGAACTGAAGTCCTCCTGTGTGAGCCTTGGCAGTTGCAAAAGGGGCTTTGCCACATGTGAGGGGCAAAAGCTGCTGCCCTACGTCACCCTGCAGTGAGAGTCCCAGCTGCTCCTGCCTCCACATGTCTACCCCAGCCTCTGCACTGTTCTTGTCCCTGGATCAACCCCTCACACCCCTCTGCATGGCCATTCTCCCTTGGGGGCACACAGCTGTGACCTCTCCCTCATGTTGTGGGCTTTGTGTGGGGTTGGCAAGAGCAGGATGGTATGGGCAGGGCCATGGTTGGGTTGCCTGTTTCAGGGTGGGGGAGATGTCAGGAGTTGATGGGAGGCTGGGGCCAGCTACACCCCTAACCCTGCCTTCATGTCTCCTTGCAGGAGCAGCCAGGGCTTCATGCACATGAAATTGTCCCGGACCCAAGAGAACAAGTACGTGCTGGGTCAGCACAGCCCACCCTTCGACAGCGTGCCAGAGATCATTCATCACTATGCGAGCCGAAAGCTGCCCATCAAGGGGGCTGAGCACATGTCCTTGCTCTACCCGGTGGCTATCCGTACCCTATAGTACTCACCATCCACGAACCAGGCTCCGGGCTGGGTGCATCTGAAACTGGTCCGTCTGCAGGGCCGAGCACAGTCACACTGACCACTGGGTCTGGACCAGCAGCTCACAAGCAGGGCACAGCCAGTGCTGTTGGGATTGCTGCAGCTGGACCCTTCGTCCTGCTCCCTTGGGGGGCTCTTGCACGCTGGTTTGCCGGCTGGGATGGCGCCAGGGGGAACCCGTGCCTGAGGAGCTGAGAGGGGCTCGCTGGCTGCCCACTGCCCTTGCCTACCTCCAGGCAGAGCTCAGGACATTAGGACTGGAGCTGGGGCCTTGGAGAGGCAAGGGAGGGGGTTATGTGTTGGAAAAGGGAAAGAAATCAACTGGTAGCAGGCATGAGGTGCCACCACGACAGTGCCTGGCTCTACCCATGGGAGACAGAATGTCTGTGCCAGCAGGCAAGAAGGCTGCCAGGGACAAGCCTACCAGGAATAGCGAGACATGGCAGGCTGGGCAGGCTGTCCCTTCCACCCCTCACAATGTGCTCAGCACTCTCCGCCATCCTTTGCCAAATGTACACAGTGACAGCTCTCAGCTAGGCGTGCAGCAACGCTGCCTAATAAAGTGGTGCATGCTCACCTGCTGCTCCATGCATCCCACCACCCTAAGTGGGGGGTCAGTGTGCCAAAACAGCGGGAAGGGGGATTTTATTATATGAAAGCTTGAAGTGAATTGCTTTTTCCTTAACTCTTGCACACACGGGTCTTGAAACCTGTGTGCCTGAGTGGTCCAGCCAGCTTACTCATCTGTAACACAGGGAACATGGGAAGCTGGTGGTCATGTCCTTGCTATGTCTTTGGGACACTTTGTGGGCAGCAAAGTGGACTTGCCCATTATTCCCTGTAGAAGGGGGTGCTTTTTGGGATCTTTTTGCCTCGTTTTCCTTCATCTTTTGTAAGCCTTAGGCAAAATCCCTGAATTCACAGATCTCCTGTTCTCCTCCTCTGGGTATTTACTGGCCCCAGTCTTGTTCTTTGTCTTCCTGTTACCTTGTCTTTGAGCTAGCTTGCTCCTTTACTTCATTTGGCTGAAGCTATGTGTGATGCTCTGTAGCATTTAATGCATACCTTGCCTTTTAACCTTGTTCCTGGTGTTGCTTGCTGCTGTTTCCTCCATCTGTGCTTCAGACTAAGCTGAGTCTCACTGTTGCTCCCCTGCAGTATGTTCCCTTTCTCCTCCAGTCAGTGGTCCCACTGTGCTCAGCGGAGAGAATGACAACAGCAAATTTGCTGCTGGACCAGCAGAACCTTCTGCATCAGTGAAGCAAAGTGGTTGGGGCATTGATGATGATGCATCAGCAGTGGTTTGACAAAGGCTTTGTGAAAAAGCATCATCCTCCCCACCCCCTGTTCCCAGAAAAAAGCTGGTCCTGCTGAGAGGGGTGGAGGTGGTCAATGGGGCCATGGGGACCTTGCATGGGTCCCCCGTTTTACTTACTGTCCAAGGCTCCAGGGTTTTCCAGCTCAATCTGTAACCAGGGATCGCTGCCCTGACTGCCCAGCATGGCTTTGAGCTGCTGTGGGGACCATTGGGCATAGCCAGAGTGGTCTGTGAGCACACACGGCGGTTTGGAGCATGCAGAAACTGGTGATTTGTTCCAGGATACCTCAGCCTTTGCCGCTCCTTAAAAGGCAGCAGTTTGAGCTCATCAGGTGTCTGGTGTCTCCTTACAGCCCTGCTTGGCTGCCTCTCTCCATCCCAGGGAGGCATCTTGTCCAGCAGGGATGGAGACAGCACTGGAGCGTTTTTGTCTTGGCAGTGCCACACCAGAGCCTGCAGAAAGGGCCAGAGATGCAGAAATCTTCAGAGATGCTCTTGGATGCTCTTGCTGCTTTTAAAGGTTTCAAGGGCTCTTAGCAGCCCTGCTGTGCCCTGATGACTCCAGCACAGATCTCATCTTGGGGGATACTCTGCCTTCTCCGTAGCTGCAGCTGGGAAAGCAGAGGCTTCTTGGGTCCGTGCAGCTGGGGAACATAGGCACATGAGAGCCTCCCCATATTCTGTTTCTTTCTCTGGAGAAACCGTGGTAGTGAGCAAACCGCCTAGCAGCCAGTGCTGATTGTATCAGTGCACTCATGGCTTTACAGTGAAATCCTGTCCAAGCACTGTAGCTCCATCTCGGCGACATCCAGGCCAAGCATTAAGAGGCACGAGACGTGTGTGTGTTTCATCAGCTCTCCAGAAACAGTCATTGTTCTGGAGTTGGGCTTTATGTCCAAGTGATTCAGCTAAGCAGCTCTCAATCCTCACTGTGGCAATTACACCCCTTCTCACCCCTTTCTTCTTCAGGCTAAAGAAGCCCAACTCCTCAAGCATCTCCTTGTACAACACATTGTACAGCTCTGACTATCCTAGTGGCCCCCTGCAGGACTCTTACTGCATTTGGGGTCCAGAACTGGATGCAGTATCCAGATGTGACCTCACAAGTGCCAAATAAAGGAAATAACCACTTCCTTTGATCTGGTTGCACTCATATAACTTGAGCTGGAAGGGACCTTAGGAAGTCTCTAGTCTACCCTCCTGCTGCAAACAGTGTTAGTGTTGACCAATGTCAAGAGGGGTGTTTTTTGAGAAGCAGAACTACCTAAGCCTAGCTAGGGTTTTTCCTCTCTTCATAGCATTACCAGGGGAGACTGGACACCAGGGATAGAGGGCTGCAAATTCACTGCAACCTGAGGGCAATGTCTCCAGCTCCATGAAGGCCCTCATGTGATGGGGGAGGTCCAACAAGAAAGATGTAGGAGCAAGGTACAGGATGCAGAGCCATAGCAAAGAGCCAGCCCTGACACTGGGTCAGGGGATGGACCTTATGGGGCAGATCCAAGCAGGTCATGTGTCCTGTTTGGATCCAGGAGGTGTCATTTTGAGTTTTCCACATAAAGTATATGACTGGGTCTGGCTGGTTCATCTTCTGTTTGCAATGGGAACTAATCAGGAGCTCCCCAGAAAATTTGAATTGAATCTCTACTGCAAGGGTATTTTAGTGCTACTTTTGCCATGCCATAACTGGGGTGATGTTTAGGAATGGGGTGGTTGGGGGCAGCCATGTGACAGGGCTAGAGAGAGAGGTAATGGGTGGGATCGCCATTCACGAGGATGTTAATCCCCAGGACAGACAGGGTCCAGAGCAACCTGATGCGGTTTAGACGTTAATCCTGCTGGGAACATGAAAAGAATCAGAGACCTTTGTAGCAATTCCCAATCCACTTGTCCTAGAAATCCCCCATGTCCCCCCAGCTGCCCCTGTTCCCTGTCCCTCCTCCCTGCAAGCAAAATAGCTTTGCCATTCATTGGTTGATCTCTAATCCCTTGCTAAGCCTTCCACAATTGAGAACTGTTTTAATATTCTGCAGGCCCTGGTGATGAAGGAAGTAAGTTTGTTTCGTAATTGGATTAGCACTGCTGGGAGCATGCTCTCATGTGGCGGTGAAGACTGGGCTAGCATGGCCCCTTAGCCCTGTGCTGCTTTGCCTTGTTGTGGGCCAGCTTGGGGCTCTGCTTACTCCTGCACAGAACTTCACTGGCTGAAAGACGTAGTCTTGCCAGAAGGCAACCAAGAGGGTTGAAAGGCTGATTCAGGGCAGAATTTGAGCTTACCCTCCTTGGAAGCTGGGATGTGTTTGCTGAAACTCTGTCCCTCATGTCTTTCACCTTCTGAAAATGAAGCACTTTGCTTAGCATCATCAGTCTCATCACCCACCCTAGTACAAGCCATCAAGGCTCCTGAGCACCATGTAGGCTGGAGAGCACCACCAGTAACTGATCCTTGTGAGACTGGGTAAAACCCTCATTCCATGCGCCCTAGTGATTAGTTTAAAACCCCAGCCCTAGCAGTTATGCCTACGTTGCTTGTGTATCACTGAAAACAGAGTGCCCTCTATTCTGTCTCCAACCACAACAATCTGCAGAAGGATTAAATAACCCAACAGTTCAGCTGCTGAAGTTTATAGCTGAGGAGAGAAATTTGTTCCTGATCCCTGCAGGCTACCAGGAAAATGTGCAGTGCAGCACATACAGAGCACACACATGCATGTGGCACACACATGGACCAACTGAATGCCTCCTTTCAGATCTTCTAAAGAGCAATATGTTTGACAGAAGGGGCAATTTTCAGTCCTTAACTCAGTGACCACCCCAGCTCAGTCCCTTTCGTATGCTTCCCCAGCATTGTCTTAAGCCAGTTACTTGCTCGTGTTACCCTGTTTGAAAATTGTCCCAAAACATCCGTGCCTCCACCAAATATTCAGTCTACACTTGCAAGCAGTTCTCTCCTTTTCCTTGCACAATTTTGCAGGCACGTCTCCAGAACAGCATGCTTGGGCACATCTGGGTGAGATCTTCCCAGTGCCTTCGTAGTAATGTGCCTGTTTCCCTCCTGAAAATGCATCTCAGGCATGACAACTCCACACTCCCAGCCCTGCACTGCTTGCTATTAACATTACTGGGGTCATCCCAAGACTAGGGTGGCGGAACCATGCTAGAGAGAGCTGAGAAGACACCCTTTTTAACACAACCCATCATTTACTTGATTAGCTGGTTCCTCCTCTGCTATATCCATACCTCTGACTTCCAGCATTGGAGACTGTATTGGGTTAGGGTTAGGGTTAGGTACAAATAAAACTTTTTCCTTAAATCTAACCCGCCTAAATGCACTGCATCACCTTGTCTAAGTTAATTATCAAAGTAAAATCATTATGTTACACTGAGATAAGGTATGTGTGATAAATTCTGTTTCCAGTTCCCCTCATATCTTGAAGCTGGGTCTCCTTCAAAACACCCTTTTAAAGGTATGAACGTCTAGATATGTTTTAATATCTCTTTTCACTTTCTTGGATGTGGAAGGCACATTTGCTGCATTTGTTTGCTATTTGAGCCATATCCAGGTTATCCTAGATCTTGTCCTTTCACAGTGAGGTGACCTTGGTCCTTTTCTCTCCAAACTCGTGCAGCACCTCCTGGTTGACCTTCTTCTCATGCA